GGCCTACAAAGCTGGAATGGCTTACCTAGTTGTGAAGTAAGAAACTCTGAGGTGAAACCGTAAGACTATCCTTGAATAAACTTCACTTTGTAGCAGAAATGTGAACATATATGGGATGAATTGGATATTCTGACATTTTTTATGGCTTTATTTTGTATGTAAGAATCTGGGTTGTGAATACTTAGGATTTTCGTTTATCTTCTCACCACATTTCTAGCATTGATATCCCTGCATGCTCTTTAAATATCTTCTTTCCCACCTCAATCTCTCCTGATGTTTGAGGAGGGGTAGTACAAAGGATTGAATTCATTGTCTAGTGTGTCTAGGCAGGTACTCATCATTTGAGCCACACCTCCAGCTTCTTTTTTTGTAATAGCAATTTTTGAGGTAGGGTCTTTATGGCTAGTCTGGCTTGGGCTGCAATCCTACTTGTTGCTGGGCATGACATAAGTACATGACACTGTCCCCAGTCATGTTGCTGGGATAACAGGCATGTGCACTGCACCCAGCTATTGGTTGAGATGGAGTCTCTTGAATTTTCCACCTGGGCTGGCCTCAAACTATAATCCCCTTAGTCCCCACCTCCTGAGTAGCCAGACTATACACTTGAGCTATTGTGCCCAGTCTTATCTACCTGATTTCCTATGGAGTACTCTGGTCATGAGATTTAATAGAAACTGTCAGTATATGAGTCTGCTCTCTGGCTCATGAGTGAATCCACCGTCCTTTGGACATATGATTCAACCTGGACCAGGTTCCCTTTTCCAGACAAAATGGCTTTTGGTTTATCTGAGACGATATAAAGCTTATTAGATGAATATGAAGACAGAAACCTAGACTAAGCCTTTTATCTCTAGTTTTTAAGGTTTCTTTGGTCCTGTGGTTCCAACTCACTCTGGATACCAAGGCATATCCATGTTACTTAGTTCTGTAAGACACTTCTTTTATGTTTTGACTTATGCTCCCCTTTCCCCCACTTTTGTTTCAACTCAGGACCTTATGCTCCAAGTGAACCTTTTTGCTTTATGGCTGAAGTTCTACCACTTGAGACAGCTTCACTTCTTGCTTTTTGCTGGCTATATGGAGAGGAGCGTCCAGGATTTGTCTGAGCTGGCTCAAAAATCATGAGCCTCCTTGAGTTGGTAGGATTATAGGTCCAAACCACTGGCACATGGCTCATACTTTATTGTTAAGCTAGTTGGACTTAAGTGTAAAGATGATCACCTATCTGTTTTCAAGCAACAGGAACTAAGTCAGCATGAGTTCATCTACTCTCTGTAGCTCAATCCTAAAACACATATGAAGACAGAGAGATTTAATACAACAGATTATTTTTCTCATGCTACAAAAATAGCCCTATATTATTAGGAAAATATAGTCAGAGCTACCTTCCTTATGCTATACATAAAATCTTAACATCAGAGGCAGTACAGATAGTACAGATAGTTTTTAAACTGAATAAGCACCAATGCACCTATTTTAAGAAAAACCCAAGTAATATGAGGCTTTTGGCGAACAACATGCATCAAAACAGCGGCAGACACTTTTCAGCAAGGTAAAAGGAATGAAATAAATATAAATCCTATGGATAAATGTAAAAGAATTTAACAGAATTTTTAAAAATGAAGACACAAGTCAGGTATAACCTATGTTTCTCAATGCTTATCTAAACTTTTATCAGACTACTGTGAATATTAAAACCCTATCTTTGACTCAGAATGTTAGTAATAATACTGATGCATTTGCAAAGGAGTTTTTTCCAACTGAATGCTTCTGGTCCAGAAAAATATTTTAGGTTTATTACTGATGGCAGACTGTGGTGTTAATATAATTAATGTCCTAAAAACTTCTGAAAAGTGACAGACCTCAAAGGCCTAGCTACTCATTTGTCCTGTTAAAATGAGCAATGTAAATAAGTAGCACTTTATGCAGTGGCAGCACAATTGAGTGGTATAATCACTGCATAAATACTATACCTTGAAGACCATCTACTCAAATCAAACAGATTCTTCTTGTGAGCACAACTCGGGGTGTGTGGTTGTATGAAAAGTTAATAGATAACAAAATAAAGATGATGAAATGCAACTCTAGGTTCTCTAGTTTTTAATTTACCCTTTCAGAATGTCTTAAATGGAGTAATCCTCATATAATGTTTTAAGGAAAGGACCTCATGTAAAAGACATATATTTGATTCTGATACATTTTGCAATCTTAATAAGATGATTTCCTATTAGTGCTAGAATTCAAAATGAAAAGAGTAACCATGCTGACAGTTGATATATCTTAAGTCTTAACAGTTGCTTTCTACTGATGGTAGAAATAACATTAAACAGTATAGGATAGTGAAAAGTCAATAAAGAAGTGGAAAAATACAACTCATCTGACATGGTGTATGTACTAAAAAATATATTTGAATTCTGTAACATTAGTTCTAGGTACTATTTAAACTGTAGTCCTGTATAAATTAGCATTAATATATCTCTGCCAAATTGTTCTGCTCCTTAATAATTCAGCATCTATACTTTCTGCTGTTTGTTTACTTACCAAGAATATTTTCTATTTCAGAATTCTAGTACAGTAGGAATCAGGCTCTTAAAATTCTCACAAGGATGCAGGAAAGTCCCCCAAAACAGTTAAAACCTGGATTACACAAAGCTTAATGTTTTTTTCAGAAACAGCTACAATTTTCAATTAAATTGTAGCTGTTTCTGAAAAACTTGAATTAAATATAACCATTAAATAGAAGAATACATTAAATAATCTGATATAAAGTAAGCAAAAATTAGTGTAGCCTGAAGCCCAAACAGAAATTTCTTCATAATTTCTCATAATTTCATCAGGAAGGTTTCCTTGATGCCTTTATGCTTCGTTCACATCAGCACCACTTAAAATTATAGATTCATTCTTTATTGAATTATATACATTTCAAAGTATACTACTTCCTGGTCATGACCATGCCAAACTGAACAAAAATCCTAGCTTCCTTACATCCTATGCAGATATGGTACCTCTCCCATCATACAAAGTTCATTTAACCAGTGCACTAAGAATGGATTTTAAGATATCAACCAATCTTGCTTGAAAAAGGTGGGACTATACTTCCTGGTTAAGTTCTTATGCACAGGATTTGCTCTTCTTTCTCCTTCTTTTGCAGGACTCAACCATTTTACACTTTTTATATGTATTCCCTTCAAGGCTCAGGTATTGCACTCCGTAGTCTATAGTAAAGTAAGTTTGTGCAGAAGCAGTTTGAGAAGTCACCCTGGGTGTTACATATGTTATTGAAGGAACTTTCCCTTCAATATGACTACTTCCCTCCTCTCGCTATGGATCAATATGAAAGTCACAATGAAAGAAATTATCCTTCAAAATAGTTGTTGAGCAGGAGTAGAATTCATTTCTTTGGAGTTTTAACTACCTCTCTAAGGCAGAAAAAAATGTTTTGATTCTCGACATCCAAATAAGTTCCCTTACTCAAAAAGACTCAATACACACCCTCTCCCCCATCCCCACCACACACAAATGCACATGCACAATTAGACTAAGCTACAACAATCAATCAAACAAACTTTTGGCTTTACAGAGTTCTTGGAAAGGAAGCATAAGCAACTACTTTATAGAGAAGGGTTTTCATCCATATGTAAACTTCAATCTTTGCTGTTAAAAATTAGACAATATGAAACAAGCATTTAGTCAAATAATGACGTTATTTATTTCTTGAAATAATTATTACACTCAAATCAGCCAAAAAATTGTAAACAAACCCCAAACAGTACATTACATTTGAGGCTAGTTAACTACTTAATGCATTCCAAGTTTGAATGTATTTATCATCCGATAATCTTCTTTAAGAACTTTCTAATATTTGCTTGGCTTAATAAAAAGATCATAGTAAAATAGCAATATCAATTTGCTCCCATTCTCCTCTACTAAGTGTCCAAGAATATAATTGGAAGTGCTTCCTAAGAATCTATTTCTCAACTCTTATTTCCCATGAAATCCTCATACAAAGACAAACAAGTCTCTCTAATGTAAATCAGTTCACTTCTTTGCCAGGATAGGGCCCTGACTCATCAGCTCATTTCCCCTGCACGCTGCTGAAAGAAATGTGTCTCCTACTGCTCATTTTCAAGAAGCATTTTGGAGGCATGTTATGAAGAATGAGTTTATTTTTCTATTTTGGCTTGTTTTACCACCATCATATATAAACGACAGAAACAATTACAATATAAGAACTTTTTTTTTTTTTGTGTGCTGGTACTAGGGCTTGAACTCAGGGCCTAGGCAATGTCCCTGAGGGTTTTTTTTTCTTTTCTTTTTTTCCTGCTTAAGGCTAGCACTGTACCACTTGAGCCACAGCTCTAGCTTTTTGGTGGTTAATTGGTGAACAGTCTCATGGACTGTCCTGCCTGAGAGCTGGCTTTGAACTGTGATCCTCAGATCTCAGCTAGGATTATAGGCGTGAGCCACTGGAGCCTGGCTGGGACAATTTTTAGTAGTCCTTATTACAGCCAATTGGAAGGCACTTTGCATTTGTGTATAAATAACCTAGAATCTACTTGGCTGATCAACCTAATAATCACTACCTTCAAAAATAAATCGCACCAGAGGTTGTGTTATATGGCATCATGGAACGACATGCAGTTTGATCTTGGCAATAGGGACAGCCATGAGTTCTCGTGTTTGTTTTTAGTCTCAATCAATCCCATATGATAGTCCTACGAGTAACAGTGAATTACTTTTATACAATCATCCCTGACATGCACAACCATTACTTTAAGGTCAATAGACCGATATGACTCTTAATTTCCTTCCATTACAGTATGACTTCCAAACTGATTTTCTGTGTCTAATTCTATTATTTCTGCCCATATCTCCCTTTCCTATTGGTAGGGAAAATAGTTACAATAACCCATAAAGGTTTTCTTTGTGGCATAAGAAAAAAAATCTAAAATTTTGCCAATCTAAGTGGTGGGGAAGCCTTTCTTCCTGTTTGCTTGTTTTTACCTATTCTATTATCCTTACTTTCTGACTTGAGGCCACACTCCCCATTCAAGTTCAGAAACAAGCATATTTATTATTCCAATGCACAGTATACTACTCTATTCCAATGGCATGGACTCTTTTTAATCTTAAGGGCTCTAGGCTGTCTGGAGAGGCCAGAAAGAACCAGGTTACTGCAGTGAAGGAGCTGGCTATACGTAATAGGTTGCACGTGAAGACTCGGTGGTTCTCTTTCCTCTATCCTTGAGAAAAGACCTAAGGTGTGAGATGGATCTTGGATTTTTGTAACAACTCTGGGAGGTAGTAGAATATGTCTTTTTAAGAGCAATTGCACCCATTTTTCTCAAACATGTGAGGTGCTTCAGATGCAAATGTAATGAGTGATATATAGATACGTGTGAGATACATCAGAGGAGTTTGTCACTAGTGTTTGATTTGAATGTGAAAATCATTTTACAATATTTTTTATATCCTTACCTTCCAGAGCTGTGTAACAAAGAATTTGCTTCATTAAGGCCATTTTGTGTTACTTATTCATAAAGTGAAAACAAGAACCAAGGCTCACAAGCTTCCTGATCATACCAATTAGCAAAAAGTCAGGTCTGGAACACTGGTCTCCTTTGAGCCTAAGGGACAGTGCTTTGTCCCACTTATACTCAGGGAGATGTAATGGGTGCTCTGTGCAAGTCATGTTTTCTTGCTGCCTGGCATTCCTCTAGTCAGGAGAAAGGACTGGGTCAACTGTATAGTTCGCTTGCACCAGCAAACCTGAATTAAAGCATCTGCCAACTAACTCTGGGGCTTTGCTTTCTTATGAGTAGTAGCTTAGTCACAGATTTTGGCCTTGTAACAAGAAACTGCGGGGTCAGGCAGAAAAAAAAAAAAATCCCTGGATTCTAAGCTTGGTTCATGGGTACATGTCAGTGGCCGGTCCTCCTGTTCTTATGTGCTAGACTAAATATCCAGCTCTGGTTGGGTTGGTGGCACTGCTAGTCCTCCCCATCCAATGAACAGATGGTGAGAGGAGCAGTGTTGTTAGCACCAATGCTGTAGCAAGGACTAAAGTAGGGCAGGAGGCGCCCAGAGAAGGGCTGGCGGGGGAAAGTGAAAATGTGAGAGCAATTGTCAGTCACATTGTAGAAGGAGATATCATGGGCCTCATAATCTAGGAAGATTCCTACCCGGCGTGGAGGCACTGGCAAGGACAGGAGTGGGTACTCATTGGTGCCTGCCCTGTACTCAGTTCCCTTTCTCAGCCGTATCACCCAGAATCCATAGTCAGGGGACAAATAGACCACCTCTTTCCGGTCTACATTTTCCTTACACACTCCCAGGCCCCATTCAGACCTGTTTCCCACCTCTACCTCCCAGTAGTGTCGGCCTGAGGAGATGCACTGACTTCCCAGGACAATATTGTAACGGTAAAATCTCTCAGGGTTATCCGGCAGTTTCTGCTGAATGTCTCCATAGTGCACACATTTTCTATCCTCTGACACGATGAGGCGGGAGTAAGCTGTATCTGGATCTAGGCGCACATCAGCTAGGGAAAAAGATCCTGGTTGGTAACACCAATAAAGAACAAGGGGATCTGGGGGAATTCTCTTTGGTGCCAGTGACGGATGGGAGTGGGGTGGGGCCAGATGAGGCATCCAGAGGGCGCTGAGCTGTTTTGTTTCAGTGGGAAGTCCCTCCCGCTGCCCATCACAGTCTCTCCCAGTATCAATTACCTGCATAGGTCTTCAGGATCTTTCTTAGCCCCAGCACACAGCAATTGGTCCTCAGCTCGAGAGAGACTGGTTCTGGCCGCTGAAGGCTCCAAGACTTGCTCCTGGCAGAGGAGAGAGGAGTGCTGACTTTGCCCATGGGCAGAGTATGGGGAAGAAGGGCTTGGCCAGAGCCTATTAGTGGGTGTCCTTGCCATTACTGACAGACATGTAATAAGGGGTTGGCGGTTTGGCTCAGCCTCAAACTGTTTTGTGCAGCTCCCCCCCCCCCCCCCCACCACCATGCTGTAGGAAGAGTTAAGTGTACATCTGGGAAAGGAAGCAATGTGCTACAAAGAAGAAAGGCTAAATACTCAGAGTGTGTAAGACCATCTTCTTTCCTCTTACAACTGTCTACTTGAAACAATATTATAATCTTTACTTGACATTCTTACTGGTAATACAAAAAAAAATATGAACATGATTAACAGAAGAAAAAGGAAAGATGAAAATGGATAAAGCTTCTTTGGCCACTATCATGTAAGAGGCAGGAGTCTGTAGAGAAACATTCTTCCTGTGGGTGGCAGTCTAGGCTCTTTCCCCATCTCTGGCTGGACACCTCTACCATCTATAGGGCTGCCTAGAAGCTCCAAGGACTGGCACATACCTGTTTAAGACTTCATGAATATCCTAGGAGAAAAAAAAATAACAGCACATGAGTATGTACTGTCTCAGGGGAACTAGACCGACAGTGACTTTGGGAGGGGATTTTCAAAGTGAGATAAATACCAAGGCAGGGGAAAAAGCTGTTCAGGGCCACAGGGAGAGAAGCTTATGAGAGGGCAGCTGAATGCAATCAGCTGCACTAGCTGCCGCCAAGCTCCATCTCCTGACTCCCAGGATGGAAGGAAGGGGCTGGAATGATGCCACACTGCCTGTGTCCCTGCTGTGCTATTCCTAGCTAAGTGAACGACCTGGCCTCCAGGCACACATGGGCCAGGGGAGGAGCACAGCAATTATTAGCTGGAGCATACAGCTGGCAGGCAGAGTGATGATAAGAAGACCGGGTGTTCTCGTCTGGAATCTCGCTCATTCTAACTTTAGCTTTCCCTCAGGCTTTCCAGGAAAGGCTGCCACTCACCTGAAGCATCCAGCGGGCAGGCCTCTGTGATCTCTCTTCTAGCTCCACAATCATCCTCCACAGGGTTTGGCTCTGCTGGATGAGCTTCAAGTGATTCAACTCCAGTTTGTGTTCTGTCTCCTCCTTCTCTAGCTCCAGGCTGGCCAGAGCTGCCACTGCCTCCACCTCTATGTACTGAACAGGTAGGTTGTTTTTTTCTAGCAGTTGCTGGCATTTCTCAAACTCCCATATGATACTCTGCTTTCGAGTTTCCACTTGAATCTGAAGAGTTAAGATCGGAGTCAGTACTGATATTGAGTATAAGGATCACTGGGGATTAAAGATAATGATGTGTGCATTATCCATATATTCTGTAAATGTTTGATACTGTTCAATGTTTTGATCTAACCAGTTACTAGGAGCTACAGAAGCAAAGACAAGGGATAGTTTTTTCTTACTTTTCTTTCCCATAGCTCCTAGGTATTATCCTGGGACTCTTTTTCAGGCTAAGTATAACCATGTCCAAAATACTTCGGAGGTGACTTTCTAATATTTTAATATCTGAGCTCAGCAACTATATTTGAACTTAGGAAAGCAACAGAAACTATGCCTCATTAGCATTCTACAAGCTGCACTAAGTGAATGTGTACACAAGGCATATATTTTTCTTGTTTACATATGAGGACATTAGGTCAGAGAATATGGCATATGGCTTTATCATGATCTTTTTTTTCTTTTTTTTGACAGTACTGGAATTTGAACCCAGGGCTTCACACTTGCTAGACAGGCGCTTTACTGCTTGAGCCATACCTCCAACCCTCCCTTACAATCAAGACATTGCAATGGCACTAGGCATAGTGGCTCAAGCCTGTAATCCAGCTATTTGGAGGGTGGAGATTGGGAGAATAGTGGTTTTAGGTCATTTTGGGCAAAAAGCTAATGAGTTTCAACCTCTAAACGGGGCCAATTATTCCAGTTATGTGAAAGGTTTAAATAGGAAGATTAGGGACCAAGTAGACCCTGATTAAAAAGATTATATTTGAAAAAAAAATAACTAAAGTGAAAAGGGGCTGGGGCCATGCCTCCAGTGGAAGAGCACATCCCCAGCAAATGTAAGGTCCTGAGTTCAAGCTCCAGTTCTTTGTGTGTGTCACCAAGAAAAAAAGGGCAAGTTGGCATGGAGAAGTTTTAGGCCCGAGATATGTAAAAACAAAGCTGGTATTAGGATCTGAGTCCCTGACCCCAATCCTGCTTGGCAGAGATAAGGAAACTACCAATATCAGTTCCAAAACAACACAGAGGCAACATAAACTCCTTTTGGAGGTGACAACTTGCCTTCCAGTTGGCAGTTCGTTTCCTCTCACTAACTTCTAGCTTCCAGGCTTCTTCTTGTTCTTTTCTTAGATGTTCCAGAGCCTCATGGAGTTTCCACTGCAAGAAACATATTAAAAATCTCATGAGGTCACCTCAGGCACCCTAGGTCGGTAAATATAGGTGTCCTAACATTAGCAGATGATAGGAAAACCAGTGTCCTTCAGGCAGTAGGCTAGTCGATGCTAGGAGGACTACTCCAGAGGAAACAGGGTCTACCCAGATGATACTCTAGGTAGCTCTATGGGCTGAAAATCCACGTTAACTCCTATAGTATTTTAACTGTTTGTAAAGTAGAAGAAAAGATCTACCTTCAAGCTTACTAATAAATTAAGGAAAAAACCAACAGACTTTCCTGTCTATGTCCATTTTTTTCTTTTCTATCTTGTTCTTTATGGTCTCCTAGAACTTCTATTAAAAGTGTGGCTCAGGATCGGCAGCATCAGTACTGTCTGAAAGCTTGTTAAAAAGGCAGAATGTTGGGCTTCCCTCCAAACCTATCAAATGAGAATTTCATTTTGACCAACATCCTTGGGTAGTTCATGTGTTCATTGAAAGAAGCACTTTCCTAGGTTAGCAATACAGTCAATTTCCACTGGGAAGCATAATGCAGTGTGTTCTAATACTACCTTTAATTCTGATTATCCTATTTGTTAAAGATTTATCAAGTGCACTAAACTTGCCTGGATACTTTGGGTCCCTTGATAGTGGTGTGGAGAACATTCAGTCATGTAGCCAGTAAGCGGGTGGAATTTAACCCAGTTCATAACTCCTATGTTATAATGTTACACTATTTCCCTATTCTAATAGTCTCAAAACAAAATGTGCAAGCAGGTATGTTTAATGTTTTAGGAATTAATCACAGCACTTGTTAATTCACAGGACTTGTCTTACATTTTTACCCTTTAATCTTGATACCAAGAAAGAAACTTAAGACCAGAAAAGGATTAATTGCCAAATGATTGGGATAATGGAGTTGATGGGATGGTTGGAAGCTGACAGGGTGTCTATGGGAAAGGATCTGAAGGTACAACAGAGATGGGACATCCTAGAGGGCAGGGAGGCCAAGAAGAGCTATAAAACACAAAATCCACAACACAAACCCTGCCATGATCAAGAACTAAGTCCAAACCTTTCATCTTCTTTTAACTCATTTACTCTAATCAGAACAAGAACACCAATACATATTAATGCATGTTTAGTGCTTAAGCACATCTTAGTACTTGGCAAATTATTCCTAAGTGACTGGTCCACAATCCTTTTCAATGATTATGATCTCCAAATTCTAAGCTTCAGTTTTATCTAGAAAATGTTACCTTCATTTTCCCTAAGGTTCACAGGTTCTGATAGATGCAGCCTGGACTGATACTCTTAGTTAAACTCATCCATTCACCTCTAACCAAAACAAAAAATGCCCTCCTTCCTATTCTCAATACTGAAGTCATCTCTTTATTAGGTAAATTGGGCTTGGAGAGAAAGGAATTCTAGGTCATGAATAAAAGCAAAAGTATTAAACAGTGCATTAGCTCTCAGGATCTGTGAGTGTCATGAACCAGAGGAGTCATCTCAAGTCTCTGGGATTGGTAGTCAGGACCTTAATCTACAGATGACCAAGTGAAGGGCAGAGGAAAGACTCGAATGGCTGGGTTCTATCTCCCACCTTATACTCCCAAGCAACATCTTCCATGGGCAGCACAGAGTGGGCCTCATGTTCTGGGGATTGGCTGCAACTCTTACACATCATGGCGCCATCCTCTTGGCAGAACATCTTTAGTTGTTCCCCATGGAGCTCACACACATCACTCTTTAGTCCCATTTCTGGACATGGCCCTAGTTGTCGGACTTTTTCTACAACATTGGCTAGCTGCCAATTAGGCCTCAGATTCTTTGGCTGCACAGGAGCTCTACAAAGAGGACAGGTATAACCCCAGTTCTGGGATTCTCCTGGGACCTTCCAGAGGCCAGAGAGACAGCTGTGGCAAAAAGTGTGGCCACAGTCGATGCTCATGGGATCCTTCAGGAAGGTCATGCAGATGGGGCAGGCCACTTCTTCTACAATGGCTTCCACCAAAGCTTTAGGATCCATGTTTTCTTCTCACGTAAGATAAAACCACAAAGAAGTATCGAAGGCTGCAAAGAGTAAAAGAAAACAAGAGAAAAATGTAACAGAAGAACAGAGAGATCAATAAATAGTGACTGCAAAACAAAAAACATTCCTATTGGATCTTTATTGAGCTTAAGCTTAATCAAGCATTATTATTAAGCCTTTTCAACTATTATTAAACATTCTGACTGGCCACATCACTCATGCCATAGAAAGGATATAGCAGATTGGGAGTGATCTGGCCTAAATGAATAGATTTGGGGTGTTCTCAGTTCTTATGTATTTAACCAACTGTGATTCTGCTCTGGTCTGCCCTATCAGACCATCCCCACTTTTTGATTATGATCTAGAATCAGCACAGTTTTTTTTTTTTTTTTTTTCTTGAACTAGAGGAAGTCACATGAAATGTGGTGTTTTCAATACCCAGAATAAGGCGATAAATACCTCTAGCCTCACTCTCTGGCATAATAATACACATATGCTTTGTGGTGCAAAAAGCCATATGCCAATGCCCACTGCCTAAATGCTCAATTTGTTTTCTTATGCTGTACACTGAGATGTAAAAATGTAAGAGAAACAGCAGTTCCCTTGGATTCTCTTGTGCCCTGCAAACATCTGCCTACTTCTCCAGCACTAATATGTTTATTTAACATGCCAAGACCTTCTCTCCAGATTGTAGTGATGTATTAGAAGCAGATACGAACTGATAAACCTTGGAAGATAATGTGCTGATGACCAAGCCCATACTGATGAATTCATTATTCCAGAAAGAAACAGTTGAGACTTTTGCCAGGGCCTTGATGCGTATGGAGCTTGAATAGTTAATACCAGGCTCTGGCTCACTTGGAAGTATTTATTCATTCACTTTGCAGGTCTGTGTTTCTAGATAAGAGTCTGTAAAGGGAAAAGCCATGTTGGTTTAGTACTGTTATCCATAGCAACTAAGTAGAAGCTGTCATGCAGATACTGGCTGAATAAATTTGACAAATAAACAAACCAGGAAGGCATAGGAAAGTTTCTAAACTCAACATGCGTTTAAATTTTGTTAGCTAATTGACAGCACAAATCCGTAATAATAATAGCAAATATTCCTTGAGTACTTACAATGTATACCAGTTCTGCATATTTTACATCAATGAACTTAGCTTATTTCATAATTCTCTCAATTCTCAGTCTACAGATGGGGTTCCACCATTCTATTTTAGGCAAAATATCTAAGCTGTTCAGCTTCAAAATATAACACAAATTCAAGAAAAGAGAAGAAATTACTATGATTTGGGTCATCCAGAGTGGCTTCCTAGAGGAAGCAGAGTAGTAAATATTACAAGTGCTTTGTTACAGGCCATCTGCAGGTCAAGCCTTTTGTTTTTCCTTCTTCTACCATCACTGCCAAACTGTGGGATCCAGTATCTTAAATCCCCATTTTGATAAAGCACTAAACTTAAGAGTCTATTTTCTGGCTCCCCAGCACCAAGTTTAAGCTCTATACAACCTATATAATAATGAAGTAGATGGGTGGGGTTGAGAGAAATTATGGGGAGGGGGGGAAGAGGATGATGCATGAGTTGACACTAATGAAAACACAATGTACTCATAAATGGACATGCTGAGTTGAAGTCCTTTTTGTACAACTACGTAAATACAAAAAAATTCTAAAAACAGGGTGGAAGCACATCTTTGTGATACAGGGCCATGAACTATTGAAACATAAGAGTTAAAGGTTAAAAAGAAGTAAAAAGAGATATTGCTCTTCAATGGAAGACCCGTTTAAATGTTCTCATTTATACATAAAATGACTTGGACAAACCTTGGATGATTAAACATTTTTAGAGGCCATGAAGGTACCTCTGGGCAGAAGTGGAGAAGCAATCTGGGAAAGACTTTTGAGGGGACAGGGTGGGTGCCTGTTAATAAGAGACTCAGGGTGCACCTGAGGGGGGAAAGAGGAGGAAGGGGGGGGAGGGGGCAGGGGAAAAAGGCAGAGGGGAGGGGCTGGGTGGCATTTGTGAATGACTCTGGGCTCACCAAAGGAAGAGGGGGAGGGGAAGGGGAGGAGGGGGACGGGAAGGGGAGGGGCCAGAGGACGATCTAGAGGTTGGGGGGGGGGGGGAAAGGGGCAAGGAGAGGGGCGGGGGCATGAAGAGGAGTTGGTTATCAGTTTGGAAAAGCCTTTTGGGGGAGATAGGCCAGGCCGGGCACCTGTCCTGGCGAGCCTGAGGGGGAGAAAGGAAGGCAGCGGGGAAGATTGGGGAGCCAGTCTGAAAAAGACTTGGGAGGGGCCGCGATGGTTCTTGCGAAGGCCTCGGGGCGCCCCGGAGGGGAAGGGGGGATCCGGAGGGGGGGAGGGAGCGGTGACCCCGGGGTTGCGGGCGGGGAGGGGGGGGGGGAGACTTGGGGCCTGGGGCACGGGGAGGCCCGAGGGGAGGAGGGCGGCGCGGCGGAAACCCGAAGCAGAGACGCCTGGCGGCTGAGGCTGCGGCGTCAGCAGCGACGCGGTGTCTCCACGGCACAAGGCACTTACCCGGCCGCCCGGCGCCCGAGGCCTGGGACCCAATCCCGGGAGGAAGGCCTACAAGTCGAGGGCTCCGCGGTGGCGGCGATCCCCCTCCGCGCGCCAGACTCTGCCGTAAGTCCCGCCTACAGCGCCGGAGTCAATGAGCGGAGGCGACTTCCAGCCGCCGGCTCCGCCTCGCTGGTGACGTACAGAAGGAGCAGCCAATCACCGACAGGGATTGGGACTGCCCTAGCCTATCGGAGATCGAGGCTGGAGCTCCGCTCGCCTGTAGGGCGTGTCAAAGTTATTTTGTCTGCTTGGCTTAGCGAAGGTTCCGGCTGGGAGTGGCTTAATGGAGGCTTGGGGGGGTTCTCCAGTCGCGCAGGCCTTGCAGTCGGAGGGCTCTGTTAGCCGTCGCCCGCGGCTCACCCCTGTAATTCTAGCTAACGCAGGAAGCTAGGATCGGAGGCTCGCAGCCCAAAATCAGCCCGCACAGGAAAGTCCCTGAGACTCTTTTATCTCCAGTTGAACTACCCAAAAACCTGGACGCGGAGCTGTGGCTCAAGGGGTAGAGCACTAGAAAACAACCCCTCAACCTCCCAAGATAAAAATGCAGTTATCGGTTCATTGGCATTTTCCAGCTTCAATTTAGTGACAAGACTTGGTTCTGTGACCTCAGGGACAGGCTGAGACCCCCACAGGCAGTAGATTATTATTATTTTATTTATTTAGTTTTTGGTACCAGGACTGGGGCATGAACTCAGGGCCTAGCTGCTGTTGCTTAGCTTCTATTGCTCAAGGCTAGAGTTCTGTCACTTAAATTATAGCTCTTCCACTTCTGGCTTTTGGGTGGATGATTGGAGATAAGAATCTCACAGACTTTCTTTCTTGCCTGGGCTGGCTTCCAGCTGCGATCCCCAGATCCCAGCCTTCTGAGATTACAAGTGAGCCACTGGTGCCCTGCAGCAGTAGACTGTTTCTCCACTATCTCCCCATCCAGGCATGAGGTCCTGGGTTCTCACGGAAAAACTTTCCTAGGCTTCTTAGCCGACTCTCGCAGGCATCTTTGTGTCACTCTTGTGATGAACCAGTTTTGGATATTGGGCTATGATGGAGAAGTAGAATCCTTGGTCATAAATCATCATTTTATTATTTGTTTGTTTATTTGCTGATCCTGGGGCCTGAACTCAGGATCTGGGTGCTGTCCTTGAGCTTTTATGCTCAAAGCTCGTGCTCAACCACTTGGGTCACACCTCCACTTCCATTAAAAAAAACCAAAAAACATTGTCTTTTTCACTCACATACACCCTTATCCAAATACAGACACACATATCACACACACGCATGCACACACCACACACAAACTCATACACCACACACAAACTCATACACCACACACATGCTGGGACGAGGATCTAGATTGCTCTTTATACAACCAGGGCTTTGTCTTTTTTTTTTTTTTCTTTTTCTGATATTTAGACTTTTGTCAAGTAAGTGAAGGCATAGACTGTTCTCATGAAAGCAGCCAAAAATCCTCTAATTGAAATCAAGTTTCAAGTAGTATCTTCATTGTTAGAACTGACACTCTAGATCCTCCTGTCAATATCAGAGTCTAGGTCAAGCTTAAAATTATGAAGAACCTGGCCTAAAAAATTCCTGAGATAAATGGAATCACAAACATAGAAAGAATAAATGTACCTGATGTCTAAGCTGGATCGTGTGCTTCATCTGGTTGGAAAGAAAGAACTGTCCTAATGGGATAGTTAATCATTTAATAGAACCAGACATAGTAAACATTTGTTGAGCATCAGTACAGAGAATACTGGAATTATAACTATGGTTCATGTAAACAGTGCTTTTAAAGAAGTCAAAGTTGATTATACTTCTGTAAAGTTTCTATAAAGTTAAAAGAATTAAGAAAAGTAGAGAGCTAAGGGAACCCCTGAACTTCATAATTATGGAAGGAGTCCAGAGATAAACACCATTATGTGCCATACAACTGTCCTGCTAAAGAGACTTCTGATTTTTCTTCTCTCACACCTTGTGAAGAAGTGTGAGCCACAGCCTAAGTTTCATGTAATCTTAGGCATGAAGTTTTAAAGTTGATCAACAGAAATTGCTAGTGGTAGAATGAGGAGGCTGAGAAGAATTGAAGCCAGTGGCAGCTAGCTCGCTTCACCTTAAAATTATCTTCGAAATCTCCATCTCTTATGATGATGTTAATATTTACTGTTCTTCACCTATTTCAAAAAGTCTTCAATGTTTAAAAGGCAAACCTGACACTCTCCAGGGTTCCAAGTAGGGGAAGTTAGAGTACCTCTCTTTTCTATTTACTCAGTGCTAGCCCCAGCCAAGAGAGAACAAATCTCATTCCAGAGCAGCAAAACTCCTAGACTTCGTTTGACTCTCATGTCTGATGAGAGGATCAGAGATTGAAGAGGATGTGAGTCTAGACCTAAGACCTATGATTCTGTCTAGAAGAGGTAAAGGGCCTTTCTGAAAGTGCTCCTGGCCTTGGAGGTAAGGTGTCACTAAGAATTTGTATTAGGAGCCAAGCACTGGTGGCTCATACATGTAATCCCAGTGACTCAGGAGGCTGAGATCTTAGATTTGTTTAAACTTTAAATCTCTTGGTAAATTATCTTAAACTTTAAATCTCTCAGTGAATTGCCTTTCTACAAGCAGCAATGTATTTATGATTATGAGTATATTGTTTAACTTTGAAAATAATTTTGACAAGTTCCATTATCTGTTTTCATATATGTATTTAAAGTGCTTGCACTTCATATTCACTTAATCTTCTTTCTCCCTCCCCATTCCATCCATTTTTCAGTTGATGAGAACTTAGGTTGACTGCATATTTTGACTATTGTGAACAGTGCTACAATAAACATGGATGTGTAAGTACCTTAATTGCTTGTTGACCTGCTTTCCTCCATCAGCATCTGTTTGGGGCTCCTGTGTCAAAAATCAGATGGGTATAACTGTTTGGGCTTATTTTTGGATTCTTAAAGTTCTGTTCTGTTGATCTGAAAGCCCATGGATTGGGAGAAGATCTTTACTAGTCATACAACAGACAAGGGTCTCATATCTAAAACATACTTAGAACTCAAAAAACTAAATCCTCCAACAACAAATCCTCAAAAAAAAAAAAAAACAACTGCCCCATTAATAAGTGGGCTACAAACTTAAAGAGAGACTTCTCTGAAGAGGAAATAAGAACGGCCAGTTAGACACATGAAGAAATGCTCAACTTCCCTAGACATAAAATAAATGCAAATCAAAACAGCATTGAGATTCCACCTCACCCCAGTTAGAATGGCTATAATCAAGAACTTTAATAACAACAGATGCTGGAGGGGCTGTGGCCAAAAGGGAACCCTACTGCATTGTTGGTGGGAATATAAACTTGTTTAACCACTCTGGAAAGCAGTATGGAGGTTCCTCAAAAGACTATAAAGAGAGCTCCCCTATGACCCAGCAATCCCACTTTTGGACATTTACCCAAATGATCACAAACAAGGCTATACTAAAGCTACCAGCACGACTATGTTTATCGCAGCATTATTCATCATAGCTGAGATATGGAACCAACCCAGATGTCCCTCAGTAGATGAATGGATCAAGAAAATGTGGTATATTTATACAATGGAAATCTATGCCTCCATCAGAAAGAATGACATCATCCCATTTGTTAGGAAATGGAAAAACTTGGAAAAAATTATACTAAGTGAAGTAAGCCAGGCTCAAAGAAACATAGGTCCCATGGTTTCCCTTATTTGCAATAACTAGTATATGTCAAGCAGAAAAGGTCAAAAGCTATGTACATATGACCATATAAAATGATGTTAAGTGAAATGAACCCCAAGATAGGGACACGAGTGGTTTTTTTCTTTCTTGCTATTGTTTTTAACCTATTTAAAATGTACTATGTGATTTTTTTTTGTTTGTCTTGTATGTTCTTCCTCCATGGTATAACCCCTGTTTTCACTGTATTTGATGTTGGTGTCCTGCATCTTGTATATACATTTTTCTAATTTGGGGAGGGGAAGGGAAACAACAAAATGCTGAAATAAGGATACAGGATGACCCATTGTAACAACGAGATGTACAAGACACTATGTTGAAAATGAACTTTACAACTTGGGGGGAGGGAAAGGAGGAGTTGGGGAGGTGAGGAGGGAAGGGATGGTAGGGGAAAAACAAAGGAGGTGGTAACAATGCTCAATAGGAAATGGACTCATTACCTTACTCATGCAACTGTAATTGCTCTGTACAGTATTTTTACAATAAAAACATATAAAAATAACAAAAGCGAAAAATTCTATTCTATTGATCTATGTGCCTAGATGGTATGGTGTGTATTGGTGAGTGTGTGTGTGTGTGTGTGTGTGTGTGTGTGTATACTGGTCTGGGGCTTAAACTCAATTTTTTTTTTCTCACGGGTGTTGTCACTCTACCACTTACATCCTACTTCTAATCTAGCATTTTGCTGCTTAATTGGAGATAAAGTCCTGAAGACTTTTCTCCCCAAACTGGCTTTGAATGTCAATTCTGTAGGTCTCAGCCTCCTGAGTAGACAGAATTATAGGTTTAAACTATTGGCAGTTGGCTTACATACTGTGTGTGTGTGTGTGTGTGTGTGTGTGTGTGTGTGTATTTCTGCCAATACTATTTTGTTTTTGTTACTATGACCCTGTAATATAATATTGTGATACCTCCAGCATTGCTCATTTTTTTTTCAAGATTGACTATTCAAGATCTGTTGTGCTTCAAATAAGTTTTAGATTTGATTGTTCTATTTCTGTGAAAATTGAAAATTTGATGGGAATTGTATTGCATCTATAGATTGCTTTCCGTAGTATAGCCAATTTCTCAATGTTAATTCTACTGACACATATATTGGTATTTCCTGACTGAAAAAAAAATGGTGGCATTAGGCAGTTGCAAATGAACTGTGGATGCTCATAGTAGCAGGAGAACATTCTCCAGTATACAATTTCTTGTACAAGTGACACCTAAAACACAATCTCAAAGGCTTGTTGGAATTTAGAAGAAGGACACAGAGGGTTGTCCATTCCAGACAAAGCAAGAGTTTGAGCAAATATTCAGAAGTAGGTAGTGAGGAGAGAGAATTGTCTTTTGAGGAACTGAAATAATGCTTCTGAGGCCTATGGTGAGGGAGAGTGAGGGATTGTAAGATGGGTGATGGCAGAATTAGACAAGTTCATGTCCTTCAGATCCCAGGCATTTCAATATGTCCCTGTAGCTTTCCATTTATATTGAATCAATTCATTACTGTGAAAAACTATAGGGTAACTGTTATTCTCTCTCTCTCTTTCTCTCTCTCTCTCTTCATTTTCGTGCTAGTCCTGGTGCTTGAACTCAGAGCCTGGGTGATGCCTCTGAGCTTTTTTTCCCCTCAAGGCTAGCACTCTACCACTTGAGCCACAGCTCCACTTCCAGCTTTTTTTGGTGCTTAATTGGAGCTGAGAGTCTCATCGACTTTCCTTTGAAGGCTGGCTTTGACTCTTGATCCTTTCAGATCTCATCTTTCTGAGTAGCCAGGATTACAGGCATGAGCCACCAGAGCCTGGCTATTGCTATTATTTTTAAAGTCATATTTCGGTCTGTGTTATGCAGTGAGATATCAGTTTGATGTTAGCTGTACCTTCCAAAACATTAACAGTATCAACCTATAGAACATGCCTCAAAAAAACACAATAGATTTGTGGGTTATGATTGAACATCAAGAAGAAGAATTTCTATCTTATGAGTGAGTGAAGGACTATGTATACTTTCCCTTTTAAACAAATGTAGGCAGTGTTCTTCTTTCTTACAAAGACAAGAAGAGAGTAAAATGACTTGGAAGGTTTTAAAAGAGGCAGCCACTCCCTGAAGCCAGGACTGCCTCTTGTTCTCTGAAGTCAAGCTAGCAAAGGGGGATGAGTCAGGCCTGTCTGTACCATGGCTCATACCCAGTTGACTGCTGGCAGATCCACTGCTAAAACACCCAGTTGTTACTGGCAACAAAAGCCTCTTGCAAGAGTGCTCCCTCTACTGGAGGGGTAGAGGAACCTCATTATTCCAGGTTTGGTACTGAGGCACTTCATAAAATTAGATGCTAACAGAATCCACTGAGCTTCTGCTGGGAGAAATTGCTCAGGACTGCAAAACTGCGCTTCCAGAGCGCAGCTATTGGTGCTTTGCAGGAGGCAGGTGAGTCCTATCTGGATAGCCTCTTTGAAGATACCAACCTGTGTGCTATCCATGCCAAACGTGTAACAATTGTGCTAAAAGATACCCAGCTAGCATGCTGTGTACATGGAGGATGTGCTTAAGAATCCATGAGCATGTTATCAGTAGTTCTGAATGTTAGAGAGTTAGAGAATGTTAGAGTCTCCCCCTCCCCCAGTGGGGTCAAAAGGTACATGATTGCCAGTGGAAAAATAGAAGACAGAAATCAGGGATTGGAAGTATTTTCAATTTCATTTGTGTGTGAATTTTTAATAGATGGCAGGATGTAAGGCACTAACGCAAGTCAAATGTCTCACTGAACAAGTGTCAGCAGTTGAACTTTACAACAGTAAGTATAAATAAGCCTGTTAATTTTTTTCTGGACAATGCCAGCATTTGGATTTTGTTTTTGTTTTTCTTATTGATGGCAACCAAATAGTGTTTGTAGCATTTTTTATCATAGAGTAGATTCCATCCATTCACTCTACTTTCTGGAGTTGTCCTACATGCAAGTATTTTATTTTTTGTTTGTTTTTGGTTGTGGAGCTTGAAGTCAGGGCCCGGGTGCTGTCCATGAGTTCTTTTTGCTCAAGGCTAGTGCTCTATCACTTGGAGCCACAGCTCTACTTTCTGTTTTTGAGAGTTAATTTGAGATAAGAGTCTCATGGGGATTTTTCTGCTCAAGCTGTCTTGGAACCATGGTCCTCAACCCTCCTGAGTAACTAGGATTACAGGCATAAGCCATCAGCTCCCAGCAAGTATGTGTTTTTAATGTTGTCTGTCTTCTGTGCTGTTCCTGTTAAGTTTGTTATTAAAATACACTAAAGTCCAAAAAATGTATTTAGAAGAGGGGTTGGTGGCATGGCTCAGCAGGTAGACTGCTAGTCAATGAACAAAGCATCAGGTATTGAGTCTGAGTCCTGCTTTTGCAGCTAGAAAAAAAAGAAAAGAAAAGAAGCGTTTAAAAGACCTAACCGCAGAATATTAAGTGTCAGTGAAAGTAAAGGGAGGAAGAAGAGTAAAGTGACTCCATGAAGGTGAGGAATGAGAAAGTCTGAGGAAGGATGTTTGTTTAACAGCTAGCTGAAGGCCAAGGCAGGGAAAGGAATAGGTGCTTTCACCATGAAGAAATGACATGTGAAGGCAGAAAGTGAGAGGGAGCATGCCACATGATGTGCTGGGACAATTTCTGTATATCTGGGACTTGGTACATTGAAAGAGAGGTAGAGTGGTTAGAGATGGGCATAGGCAAGCTACACCGAGGGGGCTCATGGGGTTGTTATGAATGTGAACTTCAACATTTCATTCTAAAGACCACTGGAGTTCCTGGTACTCTGGAGCTGTTTGGAAGCATATGCTGGCCACACAGCCAACAGTGAATTTTCAGGAAGGTTCTTCAGTGAAACTGATCAGTGAACAGTTTGAAGATCAGTGAATCTCTTACCCAGATCAGTGAACAGTGGAGACTTTTAACATTATTGGCAGAGTTCTTCAAGGCAATGGTCCAAGTAGACTTTCCATGATCTGGGTAAGAGATTACCCTGGCTTTGCCTGGAGAAAAGTTAGACGTGACAGAGGAAAAGAATCTAATTCACATGATTTGCAGGAGACAAAAATAAAGAAGATTTGGTAGTACTGACTGGGATGTGTGTGTGTGTGTGTGTGTGTGTGTGTGTGTGTGTGTGTGTGTGTGTGTGAAAGAGAGAGAGAGGAGGGGGAGGGAGAAAGAAAGAGAGGGAGGGAGGGAGGAGGTGGGGAGGGGAGGGGAGAAGAAGGAGGAGGAGGGGAGGGAAAGGAATCTCCCATGAGCAACAGTAATTTCTGTGACAAAATAGAAAACGGATCATGAATGAGGTTCAAATTGGGACGACCAGAGGCGATGAACTTTGTTGATAATGAAATTAACATACTAAATATTGAGTTTGAAGTGCCAGAAGAATCCTATGTTCAGTAGATAATATCATACCTTAAGTTTAGGAGAGTTTTCTGATGTGTTTGAGTAATGGAGGCATGGAAGCAAACACAATTGCTTGGGTTGTTGTAAAGAGGGAGAAGATAGAAAGTTAAGTCTTGGAAAGGCTCTTTCCATTGACTTCAGCCTGTTGACATTTATGTCCAAGCTCTTCCCATTCTGCAATACACATTTAAAATCCTGCCTTGGAATTCTCAGCTCTTTATTACCATTTCACTTCTGCTCTTTAAAATAAAGGTCATCTGCATCTATTTCTCAACCCACTTCACTCTACCCCCATTCAAGGCTTTGTCCCCATTAAACCACCACAGCAGTTCTCAAAATAATCCACACTCTTCATTCCTTTGACAGCTGTGAAACTATTTCAATGGGGTGTGCTACTATTTCATTGGCTTTTCCAGTTGTGTTTGACTAATAATAGCAAGCACAAACATCCACTGGAGAAGAGTCAGTGTCTTCTGTTTCACAGCAAAATGTTTAGGCAAACTGTTAGTGAGTGAGTGGGTCCAAGTCTGTTTCCAGACAGAGGACCACAGCAAACAACCAATCTACACGAGCTCATTTAGGGAGGGGTAGGAGAGCTGTGATTGTCCATGCATGGAAGAAAGAATTGTCTTGAGAGGGAAAGAGGGAAGGAGAACTGACAGGAAGTGTAGCCCAGGGGAAAGAGTTCAGATTTCAGACTCAGATTCTACTGCTTCACATTTCACCCTCTTAGCCTTTGCCTCCAGTGGGCACAAAGATCGAAATTTTCTTGAGTGACCACAAGAGGGCAGCATCAAGAAGTCAGAAGCAGCAAACAGCTGATTTCAGTACCAGTATCTATGTCTAGGAGCTTTCTGGTGTGTGCCTTTACCTCCATTCCGGGAACTCCTGTCTTCCACCCCACATCACATTCTGATTTCCTAAAGTGATCTCAGAAGAATTGAGTAGGAGTCAGGCCTCAGCTTTCTTTGGGCATTTGAGACCCTGAGTCCCAGTTCACTTATCTCTCCTCTTACTCCCTAGGGCCCTCAGAAAAGGTATATATGGGTGGTGGCCTTGGACAGAGGCATTGATGACGGATGGACCAGCTTCAGACCAGGGACAGGAGGCACAGGGAGGTTTTCTTGGATTTTTGCAAATCCTTAGGAACTGTGTACTGCAGGGAAGATGATGGTAGCTTAGTTCTGAGACATACCCAAGGAGGAATTTCTTCAAGCCTCTGAGAGGTTGTTCTAACCTTTGTCTACAATTCTAGCCTCCTACCTGCCATTTAGGAAGCAAGGCAAGGGGAATTAAGTTACCCAGGAAAATGTAAAATGTGTGTATGTGTGCATGCATGTGCGTGTGCGTGTGTGCGTGTGATTGGTAATAAGGAAGTTTCAAAGCTGAACTAGAATGTTAAGTTGTAGCCACGCTGTAAAAGTCTTTGTAGACTGCAGAGCTGTTTATCTTGAAGGCTGGGGAGAATCATCCTGTAACTTGCTAAGCAGAAAACAGACACTTCCAGTCCTGCTCTTTAGAGACAGGGGCATGGACAGTCCATCAGAGACAAAGCACACAGTTGGAATGGATCTTACTTGGGCAAGATGAACATGAGGCCCATAAACTACTCTGTAGAAATATCAAGCAGGTGGTAAGTTTTATGGCTGGCCCTCAAGCCAGAGGTTCAGAACAGAGTGTCCTGTGTAGGGAAAGAAGCTGAGCCTGGTGTGAAATACCCACCCGGGAGAACAGGTGGACAAGGGGCTGTGCGTGTGGTCAGCAGATTGCAGTGGCGGCAGGGGGACTCACTCATTTTCCATGGATCAGCTGCATCTGCTTTCCATGCCACACCCCAGCCGCTGACTCTCCATGTGGATCTTGGGAGATCCGGAGGGCAGATTCTGTTGTACTTTTTGTTGATGACTGGTAATCACAGTTCTTTTTTACTGCTCTCCTCCCCTCCCCCCAGATTTCTAGAACACCAAAACTGCTCTACACAGCTCTCTTCTTGTTGTTGTTGTTTTATCATGTAGGGGAAAGAAATTGTACTTTTAGAATAGATTCCTGGGCCATCTGCTAGAAACTGATCTCCTAAGCTTGATGTATTTCCTGGGCCATGGTGTTTTTAGTTACTTCAGATGGTTCTATTAGGGGAGTTTTAGCCACACTACAAAGATATAAACATAAACCTCTGTCTTGAAATCCTGTTCCAGAGTGAGAACTTGCTTCCTGTCCTAGATCAGATTTTAGTAGATCTTAGAGGCAAGTGGAGACTGAATCTCAAAGTCTGGACCTAAATAATCCAGAAGAGCTCAGGTCAGATGGAAAGTCTGTGCAAACTTGTCTTCTCTTTGGAAAAGTTGCTAAGACCAGTGGCCTCTTCAGCAGCATCAGAGTTGAAAATGAACTGTTTAGTCTGTTCTGTGAGTGGGCATTCCCTCCCTAAGATGAATAGGATGTATATTTTCTTATGTAATGCTGGGGCACTGAAGGACAAGATAAGATTTGGGGTGTTCAGGGAGGTTATATAAAGAGAATCAGAGTAGCGAGTTGGGAGTAGATCCAGAATTACCAGAAATACATAGTTGCTTTTCACAGTTGCTGCTTTGGTGCCCTTTTCTTAGAAGTTTTGACTGTTCTCCAAGACAAGACAAAATGATCTTTCTCTTCTTTTCTTTCTTAGACTCTGCATTTGGGATACAGAAGTGACAGCTCTTGGCTCTGGTCATGGGCACTCCAAATAGAACTCTGATTCATCCAGCCTATTTCCTACTGGTGGGCATTCCTGGGTTGGGTCCTAACACACACTTTTGGCTGGCTCTCCCACTGTGTTTTATGTATGCCCTGGCTACTCTGGGCAACCTGGCCATCGTCCTTATCATTCGTGTGGAGAGTCGCCTGCATGAGCCTATGTACCTCTTCCTAGCCATGCTTTCTACTACTGATCTCATCCTCTCCTCTGTTACCATGCCCAAGATGGCCAGTCTTTTCTTGACTGGTGTCCAGGAGATCGAGTTCAATATTTGCCTGACCCAGATGTTCCTTATCCATGCTCTGTCTGCCATGGAGTCAGCTGTTCTTTTGGCCATGGCTTTTGACCGCTTTGTGGCCATCTGTCATCCTTTACGCCATGCCTCGGTGCTCACAGGGCCAACTGTGGCCAAGATTGGGCTAGCTGCCTTGATCAGGGGATTTGTATTCTTCTTCCCACTGCCTTTCATCCTGAAGCGCTTGTCATACTGCCGAGCACATACCGTCACACATTCCTTCTGTCTGCACCAAGATATTATGAAGCTGTCCTGTACTGATACCACGGTCAATGTGGTTTATGGACTCTTCATCATCCTCTCAGTCATGGGTGTGGACTCCCTCTTCATTGGCTTCTCCTACGTCCTCATCCTGCGGGCTGTGTTGGCACTGTCATCCCGAGGGGCAGCGCTCAAGGCATTTAACACCTGCATCTCCCATCTCTGTGCTGTTCTGGTCTTCTACGTGCCCCTCATTGGGCTCTCAGTGGTGCACAGGCTGGGCGGCCCGACCTCCCTGGTCCATGTAGTGATGGCTAATATTTATCTTTTGTTGCCACCGGTAGTCAATCCCATTGTCTATGGAGCCAAGACCAAGGAAATCCGCTCAAGGATCACCCATATATTCTCCCAAGGTGAGAGGTGAGGAGTTCCAACCTAGTGTCCTCAATACTGCCAAAGATGAGAGGAGGAGGATTTGGGGATTGTCTTAGTGAGTAGAAAATCTGACTCACTGGACTTAGGACTCACAAAGATGCAAGGTCTATGTGCCTCTGGTCATATAAAATGATATTTATCGGAATGAACTCCAGGAAATGAAAACTTGAGGTTTTGTCCTTGTTGCTGTTTTTGTTTTCTTTTCTTTCTGTCTTGTTTGTTCACTTATCTGTCTTAGGTAGGTAAGGAAGACACAGAAAAGGTGGGACAAAGGGTGAACAAATACAGCAGTGGTACTCAGTAGACATTATGTTGAAAATGGATTCTGGAAGTGGCACTGTGCTCAAGTGGTAGAGCGCTAGCCTTGAGCTGAAGAGCCGAGGGACAGCACCCAGGCCCAGAGTTCAAGCCCCATGACCGACCAAAAAAAAAAAAAGTAAAAGAAAATGAATTCTACAACTTGTGGGTGGGGACAGGAGGAAAAACTGGAAGAGAGCAAGGGAAGAGTGACATTGTTAAAAAAGAAATGTACTCTTTACCTGACTTGTGTAACTGTAACCCCTCTGTACATCACCTTTACAATAACAATGAAAAAGAAAAACCCTTATTACTCACACTCCAGAGTAATGATACAGTCACAAGTAAGCATTAATGAAGGTATTTGGGGGATGGTAATGGAAAGAGACTGATAAAAGATGATGTATTCTGGTTGTTGGTGTGAGTGTGGATGTGTTTATGTGGATGTATGTACTTTGATGTGAGAGGAAAGGGGGAAGAGGTGGTGGAAGGAGGGAATGAAATAGACCTGTTTTGTCTGGTGCGGTGAGTATGTAGTTGTTCTTTGACAGGTAGGTGTGTATTTCCTGTACCTTCCCTGTGTTCCTGTGGTATTAGTCAGTTGATGTGTGATATGCGTCTGTGTGAGAATGCTGTATGGTAGACAGTATTCTATGTAGGCTTCATCAGAATGCTTCCCTCACATTGGTTACATATAGCATAGAGTACACCAATGTGTGGGATCTATATATAGTATTAGTGCAGCTGTAACTTTCAATATGTGTTGTGTGTACCTTGGTCAGTTGTGTATAATATTTCGCTATGAACATAATATGGTGATGATTGTACCTTATGGCAAATGTCTGTGGCATGGTAGGCACACACTTCCTTTGTGTATTTGGTCTGGGTGGTTTGGCACAAGGCTGAGCACAATCTTTGTGTTCCTTGGCCCTGACACATGTGTGGTTTCTATGTGGAGATGAGGGTAGAGGTCGGAAGTTGAAGAAGTCTGACTGTTGAGTAGAAGACACAACTTCCAGTGTTGATAGCTATGACTGTAAGACATGCGGATTCTCGGGCTGAGCTCAAACTGAGGTTGTGGCTCTAGGATTGAGAAGAAACACGTCTTATTTAGACCCACTCCAAGCCCAGACCCCACAGTATCCATCTAAACCACAAGGATTTCGGGTGCTTTCCTCTCTTCCCTGCCTCTTCTCCTTGGCATTGCCTTCCCTAAGGCTTCCATAGCTGGACACAGCTGGTCTGCCAAATATGTTTGAAAGGCCTTGATTATAGCGATTCCTGTTAATCTCTTTGGGGAAGCGAAGCCTAGAGGAAAATGACCGTGAGAATGCAAAGGACTTGGCCTCCCTAGGGGATGCTTCACTGTACCATCATGAGCCACGATGTGAATGGTGCAGGCATCACCACTGTGGCTATGTGAGGCTATCCTGATTTGTGGTTATGGCACTGATCAAAATGCACTGTATTCATAAACTGCTTTGTGGAATGGCAACTCCTTTGTACAACGGCTTAATGATAACCAACCTATTCAAAGAAAAGAAACCATTCGTTGTCTCCTAATAAATAGTTTTGACAACATTTCAGAGAAGTTGCAATTTATTTCCCTGGTGTTGGGTTCCAGTTTTGAAATCAAATTTACACAACTCTGAAAAGAGATTCCTTCCTATCTCTTCATCTAGGAAAGAGAGATCATGAGACAGGAATTAGATGGGACAGCGATGGGGATGAATGGCTTTGATTCCGGGGCCAATTACTTAACCTAATAAACTTCAGTGATTTGGGGAAGTACCAACACCATAAAATCGAAATGTAATGTAGACCCTGTTGGACAAGTGTGGTGACTAAATAAGACATTTGGTGTGAATAGACATAGAAAATAACGACCAATAAATGTTAGCAACAATAAATGGTGAAGTAGTTGGGTGCCCATAGCTCATGCCTGTAATTCTAGCTACTCGGGAGACTGAGATCTGAGCAATGCAGTTCAAAGTCAGTCCAGGCAGGAAAGTCCATGAGACTTTTATCTCTAACTAACCATCAAAAAGTTAAAACTGGACCTGTGGCTCACGTGGTAGAGTGCTAGCCATGAGTCAAAAAAGGTCAGGGACAGGGCCTAGGCTCTTAGTTTGAGCCCCAGGACTGGTATACTATAAATGAATCAATAAATAAACAGTAAAACTGACAACATGAGATGTGTTAGCTTCATCCAAGCCATAGAATTCTAAGAATAGTAGTCCTCAGTTTTCATAACCAGCTTCCACGCCAAGGCCAGAAGCTAATCTCTTGTGTAGATAGAGTAATTTTCATTTGTTTGCTCTTTTGTATGCCTAGTAATTTGATTACCTTCCAGCAGTTATCAATTTCCCTTGGTATCTGACATTTTTTGCATCACTGTTAATATCCTTGTGATTTTTTTTCTGGGACTATTTTTTTCTTGGAACTAATTTGATCATTTTGAATCTTTATACTGAACAATGATTCTTTTGTATTCTCAATACAGAAGGATAATCTCTGAATTCTGAAGTCTTTTAATCGGATTGTTAGGAAATAGGAACTTCCTATATTATTTGTGCTATTAAGGGAAGTACATTTAGTATTTCATCATTGTGCGCGCGCTATCAATTCTTGAAATCTTTGACTGCTAATTTGAATTTATTTATTTTTGCAATTATATCACTTTCTCTTGTATTTAGCCTTATGGTTCTTGGCCTTATGTGAGCATTAACCATTGTTACCTCAAATATTTTTAAGTGACTCTCTGTCTTTAGTTAGATTGCTTTTATGCATTTATTAATCAGGACTCAGCTGGATATTTGTGTGTGTGTGTGTGTGTGTGTGTGTGTGAACTCATGGCCTAGGTGTGTCTCTGAGTTTTTGTGCTTAAGTCTAGCACTCTACCACTTGAGCTACAGCTCCACTTCATACTTTTTTAGGGCTTAATTGGAGGTAAGAGTTGCCTGCCTGGGCTGAACCGTGTCCTCAGATCTTAGCCTCCTGAGTAGGTGGGATTACAGGTATGAACCACATCACATTTGGTTCAGCTACTCAATACTCTTGCCTTTTGCTAATATGTAGACTTCTCGACTATGATGTTCTACCTTCAAATTCTAACTGGCTTGGTGTTTCTGAACACTCAACCTATATCTGACTAAGAAAATGCTCTATATCTTAGCTATGGTAAATAATGCTGCAATAAACATAGTCGTGCTGGTAGCTTTAGTGTGGTCTTGTTTGTGAACATTTGGGTAAATGCTCAAAAGTGGGATTGCTGGGGAGCTCTATGTGGAGTCTTTTGAGGAACTTCTATGCTGCTTTCCAAAGTGGTTGAACAAGTTTACACTCCCACCAACAATGCAGTAAGGTTCCCTTCTGTCCGCATCCCCTCCAGCATCTGTTGTTATTAGAGCTCTTGATTATAGCCATTCTAACTGGGGTGAGGTGGTATCTCAATGTTGTTTTGATTTGCATTTCTTTTATGGCTAGAGAGATTGAGCATTTCTTCATGTGTCCATTGGCCATCCTTCTTTCCTCTTCAGAGAAGTTTCTCCTTAAGTCTTTAGCTCACTTATATATTGGACAGTTGTTTCTTTGAAGATTTGTTTTTGGAGGATTTAATTTTTGAAGCTCTAGGTATATTTTAGATATGAGACCCTTGTCTGTTGTATGGCTAGTGAACCAACCCAGATGCCCCTCAGTAGATGAATGGATCAAGAAAATGTGGTATATATACACAATGGAATCCTATGCTTCCATCAGAAAGAATGACATTGCCCCATTTGTTAGGGAATGGAAAGACTTGGAAAAAATCATATTATGTGAAGTAAGCCAGGGCCAAAGAAACCTAAATCCCATGGTTTCCCTTATTTGCAATAACTAGTATATGTCTGAGTCAAGCAGAAAAGGTCAGATAAGTTGATGTTAGTAGAATGAACCCCAAGGTAAGTATCTAAATGTTTTTTTTCCTTTCATGCAATTGTTTCTATCATATTTATAAGATGATTTCTTTGTTGCTTTGTATGTCCCTCCCCCACAGTATAACCCCTACTTTCACTGTATTTGATGTTGGTATAATTTGTGGAGGGGAAGAGAAAAAAACAAATCATTTAACTAGGGCTATAGGTGGACCCATTGCAACAATGAGATGTACAAGTTGTTATGTAGAAAAACGAACTTAACAAATTTGGTGGGTTGGGGGGAGGCTTGGGTGGGGGGAGGAGAGTAGTATGGGAAGGGATGGGAAGGGATGGGAAGGGGAAACCAAGAGGAGGCAACAATGCTTGATAAGAAATGTACTCATTATCTTGACCATGTAATTGTAACCCCTCTGTATGGTATTCTCAAAACAAAAAAAATATGTATATATACAACTTAAATAAAATATATAAATCCCTAATAGAAAAAAAAAAAAAAGAAAATGCTCTAAACTTTGCTTGAATTCCTCTCTCCTGTGCAACTGGAGAATGCACCTTCATTGTTGATGTTGTTGCTAGACTTTTTGTTTCCTATTACCTGATGTCCAGTATCTTGCAAATAAAATGATTGTTATGTATATTGTTCAAGTTTGCATTTCTTAATGTGGTTCATTCTGCCACTACATTTTGGATAGGAGCAGAAGTTCTCGAGGTATATTCTAAAGAAGTTTTTGCATTCTCAGAGCATGTGGGAGGGTTGTTAATGAGGGCAGTAGAG